ACGAGCTCTTATGAACCCAAAAGTCCTGCTGTCACACCCAGGAAGGTGGGCTCTCCATTGTTCACGGGGCGACTCAGATGGACTATTCACCAAGCAGATGCGTGCCCCTCCTTCCCTCAGGAGGACAGCGCCACTCGCTGGGGTCCCTGGGACAATGGTGTAAGCGTCAGGCTCACACAGGCTGTAATCCTATTTCTGCATCTCATGGAGCCACATGAACTCCCTGGCCCTCCTGGTGTGACACGTGGAGTGTGTCTGACTTTCTGTGGGCAAAGGCATAGATGTTCTCAGGAGGGTATGGCTGGACCTCACGATGCACAGGGGTGAGGGTCCGTCATCAGAGCAGGTCAGACTCATCACAAAGGTCACCGCTGGTCTCTAGTCCTCATGGTCCCTGGAAATGAAGGTCTTCTCCTGTGTGCGGGTGAGGGAGCCATTACCCCCTCCAGCGGCTGTGGGTGAGGGTGCAGGCTCAGTGGGGTGCAGTCCTGGTGGGCACATTGCTATCGTCTGGGAGGCCATCGGGGTCCTCAATGGCAAAGGCTGCTGGGGTTCCTGCTTTGCTTTCCCCACAGGGTAAGTTCCAGCCCCAGGACTCCCCTGGCAGGGTCCGGCACACAGGCCCTCAGAGTGGGGCAGGCCTGAGTCCTGGGCTCAGGAGGGCGGAACTGCTGGGCTCCAGGGGCCGGGACACAGTAGCCATGGCAGTGGTGGTGGCACCAGTGTCTGAGGTACGACAGTGACAACCTGCCGACTAGGGCCCAGGTGTCTGGGGCTCACCCTGTGCCTCAGGTGGTGGCGGGGAGCATGATCTGGGGCACAGCAGTGGGTGCTCCAGCCCTGGGAGGTTGCGTCGGGCACGCTGGGAAGCCCCTCCCTGGGATTGAGCCTTGGCAGCCAAGGCTGCAGGAGTCAGTGAAGTCACCTCCAAAGGTGCTTTTGAAACAAACATAATGTAGTCAACGAGTGTCTGTGACACACTTTCAATAAAATTTCCATTTTAGAGTAGTTTTAGACTTACAGACAATTGTGAAGATAGCACAGAGATTTGTATACCCTGTATCCAGGTTCTTCTGTGATTAACATCCTACCTTCATGAGGTTTATTTGTCACCATTGATGGCGATGGCGACGAGCCTAAGGGGAGCAGTCTGGGAAGCCCAGGATGCCATGTCCTCCCTGGGGATCCGAGGGTTGCAGCTCCTTGTGACATGGGGGCAGGTGCTGGTTTGTATTTTAAAGTAAGCCAGAGAGATCGAGAGAAAATGGCTCCAGCGGCTGCGTTGGAGAACTAGTGTCAAAGTAGCTCAGAGTGGACCATTATCCTCGGATTTGGAGAAGTCACAGGCACATTTGTGAAAAATATCTTGCCTCACATGTTTGAGTGTTTGGACTTAAAGTTCCTCAACGTGTTGACTTGGCGCTGACTTCGTTTCCTGAGTGTTCGGAAACCACATTGTTACATGTTGTCTGACCAATGGAATCCTTTCAAAGAAAATGACCCGCTGGGGTGTATTTTCATGAAGAATTATACCTTCTGTCTTATGAATGTAAATATCTTAAATGATAGGTCTTGTGGTTGCAAATTGTAGGTCTTATGCATTCTCACAGGGGGAAAATGTGCTCTAGGAATTGAAAACTTTACAAGCTGACTTTAAAATGGGTTGGCAGCTGACATATAATCGAACACAGCTTTAATCAGAAAAATATGTTCTAACAAATTGGCAGGGAAACCGGCAGTGAATGAGTGATGGCACAGCCACCTGTGGTCTCAGGCGCCCTGGGGACTATTGCGTTTGCTGGGATGGAGGTTTCTATGCTTTTGTGCATGTTTTTGTTTACACACCACGGGTTTAGGTTACTCACAACTCTGACTCAGGAGACTCTCCCCTGCCTGGAAGTGAGTTCACCTTCGGTAACTCTGTACTTCCCAAAGCCACACTTTCACAACCGGGGGGCGTGTCCACTCTCAGGTCGGCAGAGACGGGCTGTGTGCACTGTCTCACCACCACGTGTCGCAAACCCAGAAAAGGAGGCCTCGAGTTTAGAGTTTGCTCAGAGTTCCAGAGCCAACTCAGTAGAGAAGGGAAGTCCGGGAACAGTGTCCTGGCTTGTCGGCCAGTAGTTTTGTGGATATTGTTGTTCTTGTTCGGTTCATAAGGTAGACATGAGTCTACTGTATGCACGTACTCCCTAGGTTACTCCAGCACGGGAGGCACTGCTGGAAAGTGATGACTCCAGAGACATCCCCTGTGAATCTCTCTCCACTGACAGCTCTCCAGGACGGCACACGGTCCCCCCTCGCTCTCCTGGTTGTGACACACGGCTTCTCTTCTCGTGGGCCACTTGCCATCCTGGGCCTATCCTGATGGTTAGTTCCTCTGTGGTTAAATATTTCATAGACTCACAGAATCTTGACTCCCTGACTTACTTCCAATACGTGTAAAATTGAATTATTTCATGAAGTTAAGTGTTGAAAATATAAATGAAACACTATCTCGGGATGCTCAGGGGTGTTTTTAAACAAAGTCCTCATAGCCTTGAGAAGACCACATGATCCCACCCACTCTCTCAGGGAGGGGTGTTTGTACCAACAACCCCTACTAGCTAGGGATTGTTAGACAATCCAAACATATTCTTAGTAATTCAGAAATGATGAATTTCCCTGGGAAATCCAGCAGCTTTGGCCCAGGAGGCTGCATCGAGATCTCTCCTCACTTATGTGGAGAAATGTGATAACAGAGGAGGAAGAACCAGTTCATTCTGGAAATGAGTGTTCTTCACACAAAACTCTTAATGGTGAGAATTAGAATTTATATAGATACTAGAGGCCCGGTGCATGAATTCATGCACTGGTGGAGTCTGGTGGGCCTGGCCCCAATCCGGGTGGATTGGGGCTGGGCCTGACAGGAGGAGATGGCTGGGTGGGCTGGCCCTACCCCCAAATGGGGTGGAGGGAGCCAACTGGGGACCAGAGGCTTGGGGGAGGGGCCATGGGTGGTTGACCAGCTGCCCCTGCCCTTGATTGGGGTGGGGGGGTGATCAGGGGTGGGGCGGGGCTGGCCAGGGGGAAGGGCCATGGGGGGTGGTGTTGGCCAGCCGTCCCCACCCCTGATCCAGCTGGTTCACTGGCCTCAGTGGGTGTCATAGTGACCAGTTGTTCTGTTCGTTACAGTGTTACGATCTCTGGCTTTTTATATGTATAGTTAGAGAAAAGACATACAAATTAAAGGCACTTGTCACCTGTACACATAGGTTAAATACTCATATGAAGTCTGCTAAAAAAAGGTGTTGGCCAGCCGTCCCCACCCCTGATCCAGCTGGTTCACTGGCCTCAGTGGGTGTCATAGTGACCAGTTGTTCTGTTCGTTACAGTGTTACGATCTCTGGCTTTTTATATGTATAGTTAGAGAAAAGACATACAAATTAAAGGCACTTGTCACCTGTACACATAGGTTAAATACTCATATGAAGTCTGCTAAAAAAAAAAAAATTAACCAAGTAAACTTAAAGATCGAATTGGCTTTACTAACCGCTTCATGAATCAGACAGCTTCCCATTTGACAACCAGGTCACTCCAAAGAGTGGGACAAGATGCAGTTTCTTATAGGCAAAAAGGGAGTGGGACAAAGATGTTAAAAGAGTGAATTTTTCAGACAATGTGACCTTCACTTAGGGGAAGTCAGGGGTCTTATCACACAGATTAGCTTCCTAGTGCTGACCAGGAAATTCCTAACTGGTGAGAGAAGAGTGAAGATGTGGAGTACATAAAATAGAGTCACTTTAACCAAGCTGCTGGAATTATTAACATTATGAGGTTGGAGACACAAGGAACGGCCCTAGTAGTACGTACCCTGGGAAACTAAGCTTTTGGAGATTTACTGTCCTGTATCAGTGCCCAAATGTACACCTGGAATTGGGTCAGATCTCCAGATAACCTCAGCTCAGCCTGCAGGACTAGCATCCAGACTATGTGAGGCCACTCGATAGCCATCGCCCCGACCACAGGATGTGACCAGATGCCCTGGCATCCAGCATGAGCCCCCTGACATCTGACTGATGAGCCTCCTGGACCAGGGCTAGGGCTGAGAAAGCAGGATTATTCTCAAGAACGGACTTTGAACTGTAAGAACTCTTAACTTTTCCATCTTTTCAGAACACTTCTAGGTTTTTGCCCAGCTGTGTTCCCAGTTCGCAAACTCTAAGACTCTTGAATAAATCTTTAACATGTATTTCTAGCACAGCCTCCAGACTCTTTTTGAATTAGCTCGACATCGCTTTAAAATTCCATTCCTGGGAGAAGCTGAACTGCAATTAGTTTAGTTATTATTCTTGGTGGGACCTAACAAAAGTGACTCCATTTTGGGTCTGTTGTTTCTTTAACATGTCAAACCAAAAACATTTACCTCACAGCTGCAAAGTGCTGAGGCCTGAAGCTGTCAGAGTTCATGGTATATTTTGAGGATTTAATTGAAGTGACTAAATATATTTCTTAAGGTTTGCAGCCTCTCACATGTCCACTGCATATATGTTTTTAATTACACAAATATTTAAGAATCTCACTCATGTTACAGACTGTATTGCAGGAAAATGAAGATGAATAAAACGGGTAAACGATTAAGTACATTGAGCATGTATATGTCTGCCAAGTGGATATCAGTTTCAACACTCATTAGGGTGAGAAGAGCTAAATTCAGAGAAAGAGATTTCACAGTTTTGATAAACTCTTCAATGCAAATTGTTCTGAAATGCTACATTAGCCCAGAAGAATATTTTATTGCTGTTACCAATTCTGATAAAAATTGCTGCAGGGACAGTGACTCCTTCTGCCTTTAGTTTCACAGGTTTAATTCTTGGAAAAAGTCAGTAGGAGTTACACCCACGTCCCTGAAGACACTGCTTCCCAGGACTTGGGGCAATTCTAAGGAGAGTAATCGGCCCCCGAAAAGATGCCCCATAGACAGCATGGCTCAGAAGCCGGCAACATAGGTGATGACAGGATAAAAAGGGTTGGGCCACAGGCCCTGCAAAGTGTAAAGAGAAGTGTTTATTGAATTTAGAAAAAAATCTCTTTTGGAGAATAGGCAATTTTCATATGAAGTGAAGTAAGACATTAGAGTGAGTCACATTCTGTGAGCACCTGACTTCCGTCCCTGTTGGGCAATATCCATGATTGCATTGTGAGCAAGAAGCCGGGCACACATTTAAACTCCCTTATTTTGTTTTTAGCAGAAATATATAATTTATCAAGTGTCAACATTGACAGCTTCCTTTGAAGAACGTCCTGGAACTTTCTTGCTGTTTTGCACCATGACTAAAATGGGATATCACAGGATTGGGCAACGGGAGAGGAGGAGCTATTCTGATGAAGCTGGTCCAAACCAAGGGTGAGCTGTGTGGACCTAAGGCTCCTGCATGACGACAAAAATAAGACTTCATACAAAGATTCTTGTGACCAAGAAGCATGCGTATTCGCAGTTGTCTATTATGATAAAATATAAGTTCATCGTGAACATTTTAAAACTTCAACTATTTTAGCCAGTTCTGGGTTCCTAGAAGGTCTTCTTATTTTTAAAATGTTTGATTAAAACCAAAGCCTCAATCATCATCAGCAGCAGCAGATCACTGAAAGCTCACGGTAGAGCTGGGCACTTGGCTTCATACCCAACGCGAGCGATTCCATTTCCTTCTGCGGCTCCCTGAGGAGACACATCCCCGGGCAGCACAGCAGTGATGAGAAGCACTGAGCACACACATTCTGACCTTCACTTGCCTAGAATCCAGGGGCACAGTAAGTTCGGGCTAATAATGGCCCTGACCTCACAGAATAAGTGAGTGGAAAATTAAAACACTGGGAAAATGCCCGCTGCTGTTAATGAAAACCGAGGCAGAGACCAGGTCAGTAACTGGCTCAAGGCCACATTGATAAGAAGAGGAAATCTGAGAAGTTTAACCCCCGTAGGCAGTCCCACTTCAGAGAACTCTCAACTACTCCACTATCCTATAAGAAAAACTTAACAGATGACATTAAATTACTTGAAGTCATGTTCTCTTCCTGGGCACACAGCCAGATCAAATTTGCAAGCATTTTTTTGCAGGTAGATGAGGACATAAGAAAAAAATGGGTAAGAGGATTTTGAAAAAAACATTTGAGCTGGGTATTGAAGCTTCAGAAGGAGCGAGTTGGCAATTCTGAACTGCAAGGCACACTCTGTGCTTCTCTGTGAACTTGGATCTTCTGGGTGATGTTGAATAAAAACCGATCTGTTCCTTTATGGCTTTCTGGTTTCATAGAATTCTTCTTCTGAATAATAATCAGAATTTGGATGTTATGTACATTAGTCTTCTCAGCTCTATTTCTAGTGTTATCAAGTTCTTTATGTCCTGTTTATTGCAAAAATAAGTCCAAAAGCAGGAGTTTTCCTATCATTGCAGGATAAATCTTCCTTAAAGACAAACACCAGTTTATACTCACTGCACAGCAAGCTTACTCAGTAGCTACATCTAGTGGGCTTCCTGGAAATTGTTCTATTTTTGCCCAGAGTAGATAGGCCAAAGAATCGCACATAACACAGTGCAGTTTATTAATCAATATTTGAAATTCTCATTGCACCACAGTCCTTGACAGCTTCATTTACTGTGTGTGTGTGTGTGTGTGTGTGTGTGTCTGTCTGTCTGTAGGTTCCCAAGTTCAAACCGTTATTTTGTAGCAAAAATTTTAAAAGAAATCTTGAGCCCGGCCTGTGGCTCAGTGGTTGATCATTGTCCCATGAACCAGGAAGTCAGGATGCCATTCCCCTTCGGGGCAGGTGCCAGGTTGCAGGTTCCCCAGCAGGAAGCACGCAGGAGGCAGCCAACTGATGTTTCTCATGGATGTTTCTCTCTCTCTTTCTCTCCCCCTTCCTCTCTCTGAAGTCAATAAAAACCTACTTTCAAAAAAAGAAATCTGATACTATATTATCAGTGATACTTAAATTTCAATCTTGCCTGTAAAAGGTCCTCATAATCTTGATTTGGTGGAATTATTAAATCTTTCATTCATTTCTTCACCTATACCAATAGCTACCATTCACTGAAAATTTAATGTGTCAAGTCACGTGCTAGGTGCTTTCACCTCATTACCTGTGTGCCTTTCACAACAACACTAAGACAGAAGTTTACTTATTCCATTAAGCTCTGAGGGCTGGCAAGCTCCCTGGAGGCTGGTAGCAGCTGTGGGGAACGGGGCGTGGGGACGCCTTTCCAGAGTGTCTGACTCCGAGTCTGTCTGGGTCAGGGACACAGACAACGTAGGACACGGTGTCTTGCTCCATGAGGCCTCAAAGAGCTGGAAGGGACAGAGAAACTTGGAATGTAAGGCAGTGGGTGGTAATGTAGGAATTGATGACGTTTATGCTGAGGCGGCTAACATACCGGGAGCTGCCTGGTCCATGAGGGCCCCAAGGGGGAGGACTGAGCCACATGCAGCATCTCCGCCAGAACACTCTCCAGGGTGATGACGAGGAGGTGGGATCAGCCTGGTCTATGCCCAGAGGGGTGACCAAACATGTTTGCCTTCATTCAGAACTTTGGTTTTGAGAAGTGGGGGGAATGTGAACCAGACTGATCAAGGCTTATAAACTAGAAGGCTGAAGCTGATGGGAGCCCACAGATGTGTTTGTTATGGTAACAATCTGCGTGAGCAACTGGCCAGCAGGGCGCCCTCTGCTGGTGGGACCAGGACACTGAGCCCTGCCTGGCCAGCAGGGAGCCTCTGTTAGGAGGTGTGTGAATATCCCCGCACCTGCCAGGCGGCCGCCCCTCTCCCCCACCACACACACACACACACACACTCTGTGCCCCCAGACTCTGTGATCATCCTTGATTCCCAGGGAGTGACCTGGGGAGGGCCAAGCAGGAAGCCGGAAGCCAAGAGAGGGCACCCAGCTCTGGCTTCCACAGGCTGGCCGTAGGAAGGACTACGCTCCCTGCCTGTTCTGCCTTCCCCTCCTCCCTCTTGACCTGAGTGTGGCCCTTCTCCTTACACCTTTCCCAGCCACCCTGAGGCCATGCCAGGAGTTGGGGGCCAGGCTCTCCACCCCTGGGATTTGGGAGCCCTGGTCCTCCTGCTTTGCCCAGGCTCAGCCCCAGGCCCTGCTGCTCAGAGCACCGGGACGGATGGACGGACGGGTCTCGCCTGTCAGCACTTTCACACCGTTTTTTGTCATTTCCCCCCCCCTCTTCCACTGAGCCCTTTTCTTTTGCCCAGAGCCAATGGAATCCACGCTCTAAAAATCATCAAACTGCAATGCAGAAATAAACAACTTGTTTTGCATTAAAGCAGCCACAGTATATAATTTACTGCCTCACAAGGATGGGAACCCATCCCGGTCAGAAGAGATTCCCCGGACAATAAATAAATCTGCTTTTCCCACTTCATGCTCTGGCTGCTCTCCATGCTGTGTGGGCCTTTGGCGAGTCCGAGTAGTAAATCAAATCTTGATTTGTGTGAGGAGATGGAACTTTTCCCTCATGATAAATGCAGAGGAAATTTGGAAGCGACTGTTCCCCCCCAGGCCTTGCTGCCTAGGAGTCCTGTTTACTGGAGTATCCAGAAGCGATGATGACATTTCCATTTTACAAACACCGATTATTCGTTTTCCGTGTATGATCCCCACCTGTCACTGGTGGTGTTGAATACTCCAGTCAAGCTCTAAAACAGCTGCACATCAGCACACCAAACTTTTAGTTTGAATCTGATTTCAACACTTTCCTGCCTGGAATGGATGCTTGATAATACAATTGAGTATTAGACTTTTCAGAAGCACAAAATAATGACCTTCCTGCAGGGCACGTGGCTGTGCAAAGGCTTGGCATGAAGTCACGTAAGAAAGGCGTGTGGACACTTATCTGTGGCTCCAGTGGGTAAAGGCACACACATGGGAGCACGTCGGAGGGAACACAAGTCGCCTCACAGACAGAGCCTCCTGATAATGAGATTGGACAGGGGCTGCCTCCACTGTGCGTCCCCTCTCTCTGGACCTGCCTTGGGTTTAAGCTGACAAACCCCAGCAGGTGCTGGATGAAGTTCCAGTTACACACGGTTGATCTTGGTTTTGAGACAAAAGAAAAGGCCACATGTATTTGCAATAGTGTCTATTATGCTAATATCACACCGCTTGCTACATAAAGACTACAGATGAAATGTCTCATTCTTAGTACCCAGGGAATATGTTTTTCTGAATGAAAACCCAAGCACTTTAGAATTATAATTCAGTTTTCATAGTTCAGGGCTCTAACACTGGGATATTTTCCAAACTTAAAGATTTTATGATTTATTTAAATCTAAAATTACAATTAAACACTTCTATTCTGGAAATACTATTTACAAAATAAAAGGGCAAGCCACAGACTGGGAGAAAATATTTGCAGAACATGTGATAAAGAATTTGTATCCAAAATATACACAGAACTCTTAAAAAGATGGTAAGAAAACACCCAATTCAAAATGGGCAGAAGATCTGAACAGACACCTCACCAAAAATGTACAAATATCCACAGATGGCCCTAACTGGTTTGGCTCGGTGGATAGAGCGTCACCCTGCAGACCGAAAGGTCCCAGGTTCGATCCCGGTGAAGGGCATGCCTTGGTTGGGGGCACATCCCCAGTAGGAGGTGTGCAGGAGACAGCTGATTGATGTTTCTCTCTCATCGATGTTTCTAACTCTCTGTCCCTCTCCCTTCCTCTCTGTAAAAAAACAATAAAATATATATTTTTAAAAAAGATCCACAGATGACCAATAACTACATGAAAAGATAACATCATAGGTCATTAGGAAGGAAGAGGTTTGCTTGTATGACTGTCACCAGGGACAGTGACCAGCGGGAGGTGAAAGGTGACCTGAAACTAACACAACAGTTAAGGAAGCCAGTGTGGGGCCTCCTGGGGCACACACGGTAGCGAGGCACCTGGAGAACCAACAGCGCATGGTGGATCAGCCTCACTCCCCACCTCAACTCTCCCTGCAGCAACCAAGCCTGGGCCTTCCAAAGAGGGGTGGAGAGATGTTCTCTAGAGAAAGGAAATCGACTGGAACAAAGACACCGCCTTCTACTATCGGGGAAATCTTCAGCACACGGACCGACTCCCATCAAATGACCCCAAGAAAGCCCCTAAACCCGTGGTCGGCAAACTGCGGCTCGCAAGCCACATGCGGCTCTTTGGCCCGTTGAGTGTGGCTCTTCCACAAAATACCACGTGCGGGCGCGCATGTACAGTGCGATCGAAACTTCGTGGCCCATGTGCAGAAGTTGGTACTTTCCATTCACGACATGGATCCCAAGAAGGATAAACTTGAAATATCCCAGATGTGAAGCAATTAAACCCTCACTCGGAAGGAATGACCCAGATAGCTGCACAAAATATCCATGACAAGAAATTAAAATGAATTTATGCTCTCATAAAAACTGTAGGCAAGACTCTTGTCAGATTTCTGGATGCTAAAATAAGCAAATGTGCCACACACACATGCATGCACACACATGCAGAATATGTGTGCATGCACACACATGTGGACACACAAGCATCGCATGTATAAAAGTCATGTACACACATGTGTGCAGGTGCATGCACACACCCATGTTCACAAATGTGTGCGCTCGTGTGCACATATATGTGCGCACACATGAGCTTGTGCACGCACACACACAAGCCATCCAGGCAAAGAACAAACATGGTACTTGGAGCCTGGGCTATGCTCCTAACCCAGGTTGACTCCATTGGAACCAGGGCACTTCTGTACTCGTCAGACCTGACTCTCTCTTCCTTTCTCAAGCCTCTGGGACAAGGGCACCACGGAGGACATGCACCGTGGATGGAGACAGTGCCAGAGAGTCCTTCCCAGCAAATCCTGCCCCAGCAATTTATAAATATCTGTGTGGAGGTGGAAGACATGCTGACACCAAAGGACACATCTGCGTCACAGCCTCACTACTGGAGCCTTTTACTGCGACCTCAGAGCAACGAGAGCCAAACTGTCTTCCGAAAAGATGGAGGCCTGATGCTTGCGCAGACAGACATCCGCGCCTCCGTTCATACAGCCCATGAGGCTCACATGTGTTCCCATTCGCGCCACCTGGAAACTCTACCCAAAGGACAGGCACCCCCACTACAGAAAGTGCAGTGACCCCCTCGAATAAACACCACTGTCTCAGTCCCCACGTGGGTGGCTGACGGTGCCACTACGGCCGAATTGCTCTTGTTCCCGACAAGAGGGGGTGCCATTGCGCCGGAATCAGGGCCTGCCAGGGCGGCAGGGGCGCAGCGCCAGGCTAACACTGCACAGCCCTGGGACTGGTGTCATGACCTTGTCTTTATTGTCACCGTATGCTAAGCAGATGCCACTCGCCAAGTGCCAGAGGACGCAGACCGCCCAGCGAGTCGTGGAAGTTCCCGTGAGCAGAGACTTTGTGGAGGAAACGGGAGACACGTGGAGAGACTAGTCACGTCCCACAGCTGAGCCCTGAAAGCCAGGCCTGCACATTCCCAGGCACCACCCTTTCTCTTGGACGTGTGTTTAGATTTTATAGATTCCTGCTAGATTTTGTTATGTAAGCTTCATGTACTGAAAGGTCCTAATTAAGTATTTTTAAATGTTGACTAAAATGTTCACTGGTCTAGTTTGTAATACATATAATGAAACTGTCATATAATTTATTTTCCTTTAAAAACAGGCTTCTCATACAAATTGCCCATGGAACTTTTACTTAGAATTTAAGGTCATTTGGGGCTTAGTGTCATGTAAACAAAATTCTCCAAAATGCAAGGGTCCTTTTTTGGGGTGTTGCATTCCTACAGGCCCTGGTCAGCCAGGCTGCCAGCTGCAGCAAAACAAACCCTCCCTGGTCTGGGAGCTAGCTGCCTGGGGCTGTGCCCCGTGCCAATCCTGAGTCATGGATTCTGAATGCGGTGTGACAGGAAAACAGACACACCTTCTATTTTGGCATTTTGATCTGACAAAGGCCTCACGTATTTCTGCTGCAATACAGTGGCCCAAACGCCGTCTGGGCAGAGGGCTCCGGCCCCGAGAGAAACGTGCTCCCAGGCCCTGAGTTTATGGCGTGTTTGGAAACGGCATATCTGGGCAAGGATCTGCAAGCCCCCTTCCCGGGCACGGGTTTCAGAGGTTAGACGTGTGATTCTGAGCTTCAATTCTCTCCTGGTGAAAAGAAAAAACAATAATATCCACTTCTGAGGTTGGATGTGTTGCCCGGGCAATGCCTGGAACAATGTTTGACCCAGAAAGAGGAGTCACTAGGAGGCAGGACAGTAAGAAGCCGGGAAAATGTCTTGGCAGGTGGGATGGGGAAACTGAGACAGAGCCGAACAAACTGGCCAAGCAGTTTACAGCAGGTGCATAAGGCCACCAGGTGCCTAGCAACGGGCAAAGCCGGTGCCGGGCCTCACCCCCAAGGTGGCCTTTCCTCCTCTGGCACGTTGTTGGTCATGCGGTTTGGACCTTTCCTCTCTGGAGATAACATCTAGGCCCCAGTTCTCTTTCAGGGCCAGGCCCAGAGAAGCAGCAAAACCAGGCTGGTGACCAGAACCAGCTCCAATGATTAACAAGCCCTGTCCTGGTGCTGACCCATCAGTGGGGACCGTGACCCTGAAAAGCACACCTGGAAAGATGATGACTATCTATTGAGATCTTCCCTAAGACCTCCCAACTCCCAGCCTTTAAAGCCCTCACCCTCACTACCCTCCATGTCCCAGCAGGAGCTCTCTCTCCTAGGAGGACCCACCCTGCTCTGGCCCCTCCCTGCCCCCTCTCCTTCCCCCACAGGCATGCATCTCCTGACCTCTAAGGGGCCCCATGGGACTTGCAGTCAGGGGAGCAATGGGCATTGACAGCTCGTCACGGCTCACCCCTGAACCTGTCCACGAGTAGAATTATTTAGAGAGACTCCATGAAATGAATTCCATAATCGATCTGACAGTCAGCTCTGTGTTGGGCTCAATTCTTTCTAAGCTACTAATCAAACAATTCTATGTACAATCAATAAAACATCATTGCTGCCCTTACACCGTGGTCGGCAAACTGCGGCTCGCGAGCCACACGCGGCTCTTTGGCCCTTGAGTGTGGCTCTTCCACAAAATACCACGTGCGCATGTACAGTGCGATTGAAACTTCGTGGCCCATGCGCAGAAGTCGGTATTTTGTGGAAAAGCCACACTCAAGGGGCCAAAGAGCCTCATGTGGCTTGCGAGCCACAGTTTGCCGAGCCGCAGTTTGCCGACCACTGCCCTAACCGGTTTGGCTCAGTGGATAGAACGTCGGCCTGCGAACTGAAGGGTCCCAGGTTCGATTCTTGTCAAGGGCATGTACCTTGGTTGCAGACACATACCCAGTAGGGAGTGTGCAGGAGGCAGCTGATCGATGTTTCTCTCTCATCGATGTTTCTAACTCTCTATCCCTGTCCCTTTCTGTCTGTAAAAAAATCAATAATAAAAATATACAAAAAAAACAAACCAAAAAAAACCATTTAAAAAAACCCAAAACAAATCATTGCTTTAATTTCACTGAAGCTAAAAAACAAACAAACAAACAAATCATTGCTTTAATTTCACTGAAGCTAAATTGGGGGCCTTGTAAAACACACAATCTGAGATATGTGACGTTACAGGTTAATGTTGTGGAAAATTAGAACGAAGATTGGCCTTTCTGGGCCTATTCCTACTCAAAATTGTCATTAGCATGTTGAGTTTCACTATAAAGGTTTTCATGATGCTATTCTCAGATTAAGCAAATTTTTCAGGGATTACAAATATGTAAAATGACAGATCGGTATCTAAATGTCTTCACAAACTAGAGCAAAGCAAGTCTAACATGATCCCATTTAACTGGGATGAATACGAGTCAGCGTTTTCTCCCAGCCCCACAACCTGTTTCCCAAGTTGAATAAATACAAGTGGCAAAGGAATCGCTTTGTAAAGCAAACATGATGACTTAAGAATTTCCAGACTCTTAACTCACAGTCAGCCTTCAGTGAAATATCTATTTTAGGGCAAGGAAAGGAAAAATACTGTGATGGCCAGTGAGTAACAGAAAGGCAAAGTAAGGAGCTCAGCAATTCTCTCTCCAAAAAACAATGTAAAAACCTTGTAAAAACTGTGAAAAATAGCCATGAACCATTTCTGAACTCTAAAGACTAACCAAAGGTACACAACAAGCTAAAAAGCATTTCTTCAGGAAAACTAGTGAACCTTGGGGGAAAACCAAAAACCAAAAACCGAGGGTCTAAGTGTTTTCATGCCACCCTACGTTCATCCCGCCTTACCCCCGACACCACTGCTGTGGCCAGCACTGGAGGCCTCAGAAAACCCCTGGACAAGAACACCCCCACAACAAGAGGGTCACGTCCACACAACCAGGGAAGGTCATGTGACCGCTGTTTGAGGGCTTGGTGGCAACCAGCACAACATGGGAGCCATGGAGTTGAAAGGGGCCCCTTGGGGCCAGCAGACCCTGGATAAGCCCCACAGGGTCCTGCAGATCTGAAACCATCTTCACGAAACAGTTCTCTCCTTAGGACCCGAGAACACTGGGCATTTCCGCCTGTCCTCTCTCCCTGGCATTTCCCCCTCCAGTGCCGTGCGAATGTGAGGCTGCAGAGGTGACATGGCTCGTGGGCCATCCAGGCAGCACTAGCAAAATGCACCACAGATCACAGTGCACGCAGCACCACAGACATGTCTGGTGCCAGCAGGAGAAGGTGGGCTGGGTCTGACTCAGATGCTCTGGAGCTGGATTGGGCACCTGTCTGAAACCTGGCCACTCGCACAGCATCTGTGCCTCCACAGCTCAAACAAACAGCTGAGGGGCTGGGATGTTAGCACTCACCTCCAAAGAGCAGTTTTCCACGAAATTGACCGCCAGTCTTTGGAGAGCCACCCTGCAAGAAAACATTATTTTAAACAGTATTCAAGAACATAAAAGTGACATAGAACAAGAAGAAAAACCCAGACTGGAGTTCTACTGGGGTTGAACAAACAGAAAACACACCTCAGAGAAAAGGAAGTCCATGATTCCCATGATCAGAGAAAGCAATTAGAATGACAGCAACGTGAACTCATGGCTTCACAAGTAAGTACAAAGGTAGGCAGACGCAGGAAGTGTGCACATGGGTGAGCCGACAAATACATTTCTGCTCCAGCCGCTGGGAGGGCCCAGAAGCAACAGCACCCCAGAGGCTATGAGCTCACCCAGCCCCCAATCTGGTTCCTAAATACCGCTGAGATATTGAGATGCCATCGTAATGCCAGTAAGAAGGAACCAGGGCACCTTGGAGAACGTGTGTTGCCAGAAACCAGAAGTACTCACAGAGGGTGTGGAGACATGGAAAGGGGCCCACCTGAGAGAGCTCCCAATGCCCAGAGCTGGAATCATTTGGTCAACAAAATAAATAATAAAAATTCTATTTTATAATAAAACTAGAGGTATGGTGCACAGATTCGTGCACTGGTGGGGTCCCTCGGTGTAGCCTACAGGGATTAGACCCAAACTGGCAGTCCGATGCCGCCTGCCACTCCTGCTCATCCCGGCCCTGCTGCACCTGCCACCGCTGCTTGGTAGGCTTGCTACCACCCTGCTGCGGTCTCCGGGCTGCAGCAGCCAGCTGTGAGCCCTGTGTCTGGCACCTGTCAGTCAGCTGAGCAGCACTCCCGCTGTGGGAGCACACTGACCACCAGAGGGCAGCTCCTGCATTGAGCATCTGCCCCCTGGTGGTCCGTGCGCATCATAGCAACTGATCAACCGGTCATTCGGTCCTTCGGTCACTTAGGCTTTTATATATATAGATAACATAAACATACATGAGTTAACCCTGATATAAATAATCCTATATAATAAAAGGGTAATGGGCAAATTGACCCTAATGGTGGGACAAGTCGCTATGACATGCACTGACCACAAGGGGGCAGATGCTCAACCTAGGAGCTGCCCCCTGGTGGTCAGTGTACTTCCACAGGGGGAGCTCCCTTCAGCCACAAGCGGGGCTGATGGCTGCGAGCACAGTGGCAGTGGCGGGAGCCTCTCCCATCTTCTCAGAAGCGCTAAGGATGTCTGACTGCAGCTTAGGCCCACTCCCCGTGGTGAGAGGGCCTAAGCTGTCAGTAGGACATCTCCCAAGGGGTCCCAGACTGTGAGAGGGTGCAGGCCAGGTTGAGGGACCTCTCCCCCACCCCCCAAGTGCACAAACTTTTGTGCACCAGGCCTCTAGTGAATCAATAAATAAGTGAGGAGAAGGCAGCTCTTCCTCACAGAAGTACAGAGAGTAAATGTAAAAAGAATCAGGGAAATATTAAACTTTTATTCAAACCCTACAGTAATAGTTCTTGGTGGCAAGATCCACTGTGGATGCAAAATTCATGGTCAAAGGATTATATGTAGCACCAGAGTATCTCTGCAAGATGATAATTGATTACACAGGAAAAAGTAGTGACCTGAGGATGGAGAACCCAGTAGATGGCACTTTAGCCAAATGGTCAGTGTGATGTCATCCCTATGAGATATTGAGGGACAGTCTGCAAAGTAACTGCCAGCACCATCCAGGGGGGTCTCACATGACATGCACTAGACTGAGGGCCGTCAGCTGCGGGCAAGACCAAGAGGACACAGCTGAGCGCACAGGGACCTTCTCCTAGATCCTGGGCCTGGGATTTAATTGTGGCATCAGAACGCATATTGAGGACATTGATGGAGAGACATGAAATCCAAATAAAGCTGTGGTTTAATGAGCAGTTTTGAAAATTATAGCATGATTACATAAGAGTAACATTAGAGCAAGGGTGAAAGGTGTGTGGGAAATCTATGTATTATTTTTGCAAATTATCTGTAAGTCTAAAATTATTTCAAAAGGAAAAACACAAAATTGCAATTGAATTTTGTGCATAAAGTTTTTTTTTAAGGTTTTCATGTTTGTTTAAGCATTGCTTGAACCCGCCTCTGGGGACTGAGTTCTACACTTGGATTCTCAGGGTCGTGGATGATCTGCTGAGCTTGGCTGGGCCACTGTTGTGGTTGGCTTTCCTGGATGTTTTTATATGCACATTTACGCTATTTCATAACTGTGTGTTTATTATCATGGCAGAGAAAAAAAAGCTGTCCGTCTTTGGGCCAAGCTCCTGTGGGACTACATCAGCGAAGGTGGAAGGGGAAACCGAGGAAGCAGACTGCCGGAGGCTGGGGGGCCTCCTCGCTGGGATTAGGGTCACCTGAAGAGCCGTGTGTAGGCTGTTGGCTCATAGAAATGGTATTTCTGGGAAAGCGACAAACTTGGACATAAATCTGAAACAAAAAGAAACCAGTCCTGAGCGCTTTCTCTCCCTTTTCTGGGTCTGGACAAGCTGGTCCATTCCCCGACCCACCTGGCTCCACGTGTGAAAGCTGGCGCTCCTGTGTGGTGACGGTCAGGTGACCTTCAGACACAGCCTGGGGGCAGGTGAGGAGCTGGGGGGCTCATCCCGTCAGATGCCTCCCACGCTCCTACGAGTCCCAGATGGACAGATGTCACTTACGTTACACAAAGAAGGAACTGATGAAAGAATTCAGTTTAAAACAACAAGACACAAGTTTTAAATCTCCTATAATTATCTTACTTTAAAATGGCGATTAATGCTTTTTCTTTAACAGGTAAAATGTTTGCACTTTAATTGAAATCATATAAAAATATTACATGTGTTTCAGGGCCCAGGTTAACCAGGTACTTTCAAAGCCATTTTCTCATTTAATCCTCCAATTCTTTTTATAAGAAGGCGAACTGGGAAAAGTGTAATTAAGAAAACCACGAGGAAGAGAGAGCACATGGACTGTTGTGTCCCACATCTGGTGACGCCCTAAGTGTACCGTCTGCTCATGGGTGACTGTCCTGTCTGCACCTGCATCAGGTCGCAGTATCCGAAACCGGACAGTGCAGCGAAAGGCATGTGAGAAGGAAGCCACGTGGTCACGGGCGGGATGGTCTGAGGAGGAACAGCAGCGAGGCCATGGCCTTGGTCAGCCTCGGGGAGCCACACGCGGCCCAGTGGCTGGGCCTGGGCCTGCAAGAGGCCTGCGCAGTGGCGGCTCCCGGTTCCCGGTGTGGCAGTCACCGCACAGCGAGGCACGTGGGGCCCCAAAGTCATGAGGACAGAGCGAGGATGGAGCAGAGTGAGGAGGGAGGAGGGCACACTGCATGGCGATGGCATCACACACGCCAACCCCTCAGCGGGAGGAAACCAGCACCGCATCCTGCATCCCGCGGAGGCAGCCGTCCCCTTCCCGCACGTCCTGCCCACGATGATGCCACAAAACATCTCACCCAGTCATTGCCACACGGTTAGTAGGTTTTCGCTCACACGCACGCACTCATGCACGCACACACGCTAGGTAAGTTTATTAACTGGGACACCGTGGTTATTTACTATCTGCTAAATGGAAGTGGATCATAGTACAAGTCTTCATCCTTATCATCTTCAAGCTGAGCAGGAGGAAGGAGGAGGAGGGGGAGGGGGATTTTGTTTCTCTAATTATCTACACTAATAAAAGACAAATATGCAAATTGCCCATACCTTCTCTATGCCTTAAGCCACGCCCATCAGCCAATCAGAGTGACTATATGCAAATTAACCCAACCAAGATGGTGGCCAGCAGCCATGGAGCTGGAGCAAGCAGGAGGCTTGGTTGCCCCAGTGATGGAGGAAGCCAAGCTTCCTGCCTGCCATGGCTGGGAGCAAGCCTATGCCAGCAGGTGGACATCCTCCGAGGGGTCCCAGACTGCAAGAGGGCATAGGTCGAGCTGAGGGACCTCCCCGAGTGCACAAATTTTTGTGCATTGGGCCTCTAGCTCTAAAATAACCATATCACTGTATTCCCACAAATATTTTACTGTGGAAGAATGCCTCCTTCCACAGACCAAGTCATTCTATGATGCACCCATCTCTCCAAAAGGCAGCCTTCATCTGAATTTATTTTCACAATTACATGCATGTTATCTAACAGAAACAAAGAACATGATAAAAATAAAGTTTGAAATAAACTTTAAACTGTGGGAATGCAGGGGACCCGGCTGGAGAACAGAAAATAACAGGGAGAGAGAGCTTAATATCTGTTTAATGTTCTAAGCCCAGCAAGATGATCCATGCAATGGAGAGTTTATATCTACTGACTAAAAATTAAGGATTCAAAGATGAGATAAACTGATTTTATTCTAATGTATTTAATGAGTTTCAAAGTATATAAAGCACAAAGGGAAAAATGGCTATTGGTTTGGTCAGGCAAGTAATAACACATAACTTTTTAAAAAACTTGTTTTTATTGATTTCAAAGAGGAAGGGAGAGGGAGAGACAGAAACATCAATGATGAGAGAGAATCACTGATCGGCTGCCTCCTGCATGCCTCCTACTAGGGGTCAAGCCCAGAACCTGAGCATGTGCCCTGACTAGGAATTGAACCTGTGACCTCCAAGTTCATTGGATGATGCTCAAACACTGAGCCACACCAGCAAGAGCAACATATAATTTTTTAAATGCCTACATCTTAGGGTTGTGTTTTTTCCATAATGTTACAATATTATTTTATTTATCAGTATCAATATACTTTGAAATGCTACTCAACCATTAAAATTATGATGACAACTAAATAACAACACAAAAAGTGTTTATGATGTATTGTTCAGAGAAAATTCAGGATACACAATTGTAGGGGCATTTCACGAAAGCTGATTAAAATTTGTATACATTTGGAGACTGGAATGGAAAATATTTTGCATGTTAGGGTGCTGAGATTGTGTAGTCAGAGATTTTCTTGTCCAAAATTTTATATTATGTCTTATTAATAATAACAGCTAAAAAATAATTCAAGTAGAAATTAATTTTCCCCAAAGGTCAAAAATAAACATAATAAAGCTCTCTGTTTGCTCTTGCTTTATTCTCACATGGTTTTGCCAAACTAGTGGGAACTTCTCTCCTAGATTCTCCTAGGAGATTATAACAAAGATGCTGAAAAAGAGACCTTCCCATGAGATAACTCTGGTGGTTCCTCAGCTGCAAGGTCAGGTCATTGCAATGTGGACGGGTTAATACATCACTTAGGTATTGTGAAGCCATTCACGTCAGCCCACACCTAGAGAATAACGTTGCTGAAGCACACGTCAACAGACAGCTCTTCTTTTAAATCATTAAAGTGAATTGTCATTTGCTCAGTAGAAGTAACATATTCCCCAGGTTGTGTGGAGACTGGAGGAGTTATGTCCTCCTCGTCCTGAATCCTGCCCGGCCACTGCCCGGGCTGTTCCCAAGGGCTGCAGGAATTAGGCGAGGCCTGAGAGGCCCAGGTTTTTGATTTTCAGTGATATTTGAAAGGTTTATTAACTATAAGACTTTTAAAATGCTATAAAACATTTCGCTTTAAAAGATTGACTTCGATACACAGGCACAATCACGTAATTCCAGAAATGAGGTGATTAAAGACCTTAAGCCTCTGTGTCCCAGGAGAATACAGGGGATTTGCTGAGGGTCCTGGGTTCTACAGAGCAGAGTGGTGTTCTCAGGTTAGACCCCAGGAAGAGTGTTTTCCCACAAAGATAGACACTCTTCCCCTCCATTTAAAATTATTTTTAAAACATTTTTATTGACTTCAGAGAGGAAGGGAGAGGGAGAGAGAAAGAGTCATTGATGGGCTGCCTCCTGCACACCCCACATTGGGGATGGAGCCCACAGCACGGGCATGTGCCCTGACCGGGAATCGAACCATGACCTCCTGGTTCATAGGTGGACGCTCAACCACTGAGTCACACTGGCCAGGCAAGGCCCTTCCCCTTGACAGTGAGCAGTGCCTGGCCCTGTGGAGACTGAGCACCCAGCAGCCGGTTAGACTCATGGGCTCAATCCTGCTGTGGTTGGTAAGGGTCTGAAACAAGAACTCAACAAAACGGCAGTGCAGAGAACGCCATAAAAATCACATCTGGACACAGGAGGAAATCCATCCTGGACAGAAATTCTTTCTTCTGGGACTGCTGACCTTTGTCCCAACCCCAGGATCCCAGAGAACAGCGAACGTTGCACATTTCCCCTCTGTGGTTCAATAAAGAGCGGCCTGCAGAGACCACCTTCCTGACTCACTCAGGTAAGATTCCTGGATGCTGTCTACCTGCCCGTCTACCCGCTGCAAGGCCAGCTGCGGACCCTCCAAACTCCCACTCTTTGTCCCATCAATGATTAGCTGAACTCCTTTGTTTCCACTGATCTAAGGAAGGAACTGCTCATAAGCCAGTCTGGCTAAGGTTCTCTCCTCCCCAGCCCCCTGAACCTTGGCCCTCACTCACTTAAGCATTAGGACAGTGATGGCGAACCTATGACACTCATTTTTTGGTTGATTTTTCTTTGTTAAATGGCATTTAAATATATAAAATAAATATCAAAAATATGTCTTTGTTTACTACGGTGGCAAATATAAAAAAATTTCTGTATGTGACGCGGCACCAGAGTTAAGTTAGGGTTTTTCAAAACGCCGCTTCTCCACCAAAGGCTGACCTTGACCCTGCGTCTGGGCTCCTCCAATGCCCACAGGTTCTTTCCAACCTTCTGACTCCTCCTGAGAAGGAGGGCCTGTCCTGCCGAGCTGGAGGCACTCGGGCTCAGGGTCAGGGGAGCCCTATTGCCACCAGTCCCTCTTCTTCTTGAGATGACCTCCTCAAACTCAGCCCTGTGTGGGGTTGGACACCACATGGTGGAAAATTACACTAAAGCCTTAAACACAGTAAACAACAAGCATAAGGCAGGCTCTCTCTGCACTATGCCAACCAGTGCACCGGGGCCTTCTGCAGAGCACACCAGGAAGCAGGAAAATGAAAGCCAAGAAAGCGTTTTAAACTACAGGTGAGCCCTGGGAGTCTAACCTGCAAGAACAGGCACGGAGAGTGGCAGTCCTTGGTCGGCCTCCAAACAAAATGTAACGAGGACGCGTGAACATCTCGTTGGCTTCATCCCGTCCAGCAACTGGAAGGGCCCTGGAGGGGCTGCACTAACGGGAGGGACTCACGGGAAGTCAGTGGGCAAGGGGTTTTAGTGAAAGACAAAAGGACCATTTGGGGCAGGTACCTGTTTTCTTTGGGGGAAGAGATGGGGCAGGGGTCTTATCACGCAGGTTGCCTCTTCCTTCTGGGGGAGACGCGGAGAGCGAAGTCCACGGTCCCAAACCTGACCCACTGCAGTTGTTGCTGAGGGAATGCCTGGCTCGCCTTTGTGTGTGGTCAGATGTGAGGTGGTGGTCGAAGCTCCACGCACGCGTACGCTCCGGTCCATAAAGGTGCGCGGAGGGGCAGCGCAGTGGCGAGGGGCGGTGAGACCGGCTGTGGGAATATTTGTGGGCCTGCACGTGACTGTCGACACCTCACAGGCGCCTTCCTTCTGCAAACGGGGAGCTGCAAGGCCTCTGTGCAGGTGCCGAGAGGCAGCCCGGGCTCTCAGGAGGCTCTGCTCAGCCCTTGTCGGAGATGATGACCTGCTTGGCCCAGTTCTCCAGCCTCTGAAACCGACAGCAAGAGTTGGCTCTGTCCTCCTGTCCCCTGCCTCCCCGAGCCAATCAAAACACCCACAGAGCCCCAGTTAAGAATTAACTTCTATTTATTTTGTTATACATTAAACACAGGTTGTGAGCTAGAAAGAAAAGATGTATTTTAAGGCTCGGTAATTCTTTTAATCAACCACCTAGAGCAGTGGTTCTCAACCTTCCTAATGCTGCGACCCTTTAATACAGCTCCTCATGTTGTGGTGACCCCCAACCATAAAATTATTTTCGTTGCTACTTCATCACTGTAACTTTGCTACTGTTATGAATCATAATGTAAATATCTGATATGCAGGATGTATTTTCATTGTTACAAATTGGACAGAATTAAAGCATAGTGATTAATCACAAAAACAATATGTAATTATATATGTGTTTTCCAATGGTCTTAGGCAACCCCTGTGAAAGGGTCGTTCGACCCCCAAAAGGGGTCGCGACCCACAGGTTGAGAACCGCTGTTCTAGAGGCTCATGGTGTTACTGGTTGTAGGCCACTGAAGGACCAGATAATGTAAAACTAGAAGGTTAAACAATTCTGAAGTGACTCTTTCTTGCTTCCCCGAAGCCAGAATCCTAAGGAGGCAGAGTTTTCTGAAGGGACTGACGTCTCGGGGACTGTGATTCTGAGGGGCTGGTCTTCACCTCTGGGCCCTGAGCTTCGGGTGGAGGGAGAAGCCCTGAGAGAAGCTTCTGGGGCCGAAGGAAGAGTCGCCTCCAGGCGTCGTAGACCCGATTAAGGGTCTCAGTTCCTGCGGACATTTGCTGGTCCAGTCGGGAGGAGGAAGTGCTGATGGTCAATGCACTCCAGTGCAGACCTTCTCAGAGCAAGGAGAGCCGGACACAGACGGACGAGATGCAAAGTCAGACTTGAGCAAACAGAAGACAGACCTTAGCTTTGCTTCGGACACCCGAGCAACATGAGGATGCACATTGTCTTTTGTTAATATATGGATTTAACACGATCTCACTAAAAATAGTCTCCCCACCAGCCCCTTGGTGATAGTCAGGCTGATGCTAATGTTCACATGTCAAGTAAGCAGGGAGCAGTCAGGGAAGCCTGCAGGGAAAGGAGCTAGAAGGAGTTAGTCCTGCCTCATGGAAAACACCATCACATCCTGAAACCCCCTCAGCGTGGGCAGGAAAATGAGCAGACGGACAGGTCTTTCCTGTGTCTCCAATACTTTCAACTCTCTTGCGTCTGACTGGATGTATGTTCTGACCCACCTTCAATCCAATGGTTCTCTTTTTGTTTAAATTACTGTTAGATTCGTGTATTGTTTTCTCGGTTTATTTTATTTTTCAATTCCAAATTTTCCATTTTGTGCTCTCCTATAGTGTCAACTTTCTGCTAAAATTCTCTACCTCATCTTTTAATTTCTTGAATGTATACATCATATAGTTTATGGTAATTCTATTGTGAATGAATGAATTCACTGTGTCATTTTTTTAAAATTTAAAAGTTTAAATCTTGTAAGCTTTATAAGCATGAAAAACAGTAATGCATACTGCTTCAAAAATTATACAAATATACACTAAAAACATATAGAATTAGATAGAACTAATAAATAGCAAATTCAGGATGATATTACTTTTGGGTTAAAAGGAGAGAAAAATTGAGGAGCGCTTGAAAAGGTGGACATACTAGGTCCTCTTTGTTTGCTGGGATGAAAATGTAGTCTTCTCCTTTTTCCTTGTCCTAAGAATTGCATTATAGAGTTACCGTGTGTGTATGTAATGAAAGTCATGAAGAGCACACAGCAGGGTAAGTGGAGTGGGAGGTACGTCTCTTAAGAGGATCGTCTTGGCTACTGTGTTGAAGAAAGGAATCCAAACTGGAGGTGTGGCAGTCATCTAGGGCTGGGCTGATGGTGCCCTGATTTGGGGCAGTCGGGCAGAGGCAGTGGTGCCTGGTAAGTATTTGAAGCTGATAGAAATCACTGGTGAGTGTGAGGTGGGTGTGAAGTGGGTCCTACATGACGATGTGGCCTAAGGAACTGGGTGAACAGAACTTACTTTTGCTGAAGAGGACGAGGGGGGCATTGGAGGAGGGAAACGCCCAAGCTGAGTGTTAGACAAGTTGGGCTGGAGATGCTATCAGGTGCCCAAGCAGCTGTCAAGGGCGGAGCTGGAGCTGAGAGTCTGGAGTCCTAAGGAGAGCTAAAGGGACTGAGATGGTACAAAGGGGGCTCATTCCCCAGGAGGGGGCGTAGGAAGCAGCTGATGGCCGATGCTCTGTCATCATTGGTGTCTCTATCTCTCCCTCTCCCTTCCTCTCTCTGAAATCAATGAAAACATATTTAAAAAGGTAAATGGACTAAATTTACCAATCAGAAGACATAAGATGACTGAATGGAATTTTATAAAGAACCAACTGCATCTGAAATATATATTTTAAACAAAGGTAAATGTGTGAGATGGTGGATGTGTTGACTCAGTGGGAGTCCTTTCACAATGTAGGTGTGTGTCAAGTTATCATGTCGCCCTCTTTACATAGTTTACAATTTTATCTGTCAGTTAAATGCTAATAAAGCTGAAAGAAAAGCCAGGCAGCCCAATCGTGGAGGTGGGTGCTAAACTGCAGACCAACCACAGGACCGATGCTTACTTTACAAACAGAAAGTAAGAAAAAAAAAATCAAGACTTTAGTTTAGCATTTGAAAATCATTTATTTAGGGACAACTAAACCACGTCAACGTATGCTTTTAGTACTGCTGGAAATGAACAAACATAACCTTATAAAGATAAAAATTAATAGATATATTTTTAATGCATAGTGGCTGAACTTTGTAATAGTGTTTCTACTATAAATTTCTATATACAATTTTTACAGCTATAAAGATAAATTTTAAGGATTCACATTCTAGTTAATACCTACAACTCTAAGTATTACTACCACTTGCCTATGTAAGGTGATTTCTTTTTTCTAGTCACTTTGCAAAAATATGTGTATTTATGCCTGAAAAGAAACCGTTACCATAGACATTGCCAAATCAAACATGTAGTGATGTTCGAAAATAAACACAAAAGAACTGCGACCATATAAATTGAGGATCTTAATTATTAAATAGTATATGCGATAAAATTAGTACAAAGCATTTAAAGATATATGTTAATCATTTATTTATAGGTGGAAAAATACGTTATTTTACATAAAGGATAAATGTTTTTCCTTTCCAATTTGGGTTTCTTTTGTTTCTTATTCTTGCCAAATTTTTAAACTTATGCTCAACATTGCTTAACTATATCCAGTGAGGAAACAATTATTTTTTGTAATTCTCCAAGAAGAAAATAGTATAAAGCTTAATTCATGGTAACATAGTTGGCTGGAAAAATGCCAGTCTGACCTCGAAGCCTTCCTTCCCACCAATCAAAATTCGAATCCGTTTTTGACGTCACTGTGATTCTGTCTCCAGCTTTAAAACTCAAATCCCCTGGCTGTTGTCCTTCAAAAGAATAAAGTGCTGTCACTTCTGTGGGTTGGCTGGAATTGCCTAAAACAAGAAAAAATATTTGAATGATTCACGTTTTTCTAGGAAAAACTGGGAGTATATGTAGGTGAGATAGAAATGAATGACTGAGGGTATTCCGAGGCCTTGAAGGCCTGTGGAACCCACAGAGATGGTCTGGGTGAGTGTCATCATTATTATACTTACTAGAAGCCCAGTGCACAGACCCCTCAGGGGATGTCGGACTGCCGGTTTTGGCCCGATCCTCGCAGACCAGGCTGAGGGACCCCATCGGTGCACGAATCCGTGCACCAGGTCTCTAGTCTGCATATCAGATCTTTGGTTAATCTCTTCCTGCCCTCCCTCCTTCCCTCTGAGACTCATCAGTCTGTTCCATATTTCCCTGCCTGTGCTTTGAGCGTCTGCCCCCAGTGGTCAGTGCACGCCACAGCTACTAGTTGAACAGTCTAACCGTCGCTCAGGCTTTTATATATAGAGATAGACTAGAGGCCTGGTGCATGGGATTTGTGCACTGGTGGGGGGTGTGGCCTGCAGGGATCAGCGGCTGTAGGAGCACTACTCATCCCAGTCAGCTGAATGGTGCTCCCACACTCACCACCAGGGGGCAGCTCCTGCATTGAGCGTATGCCCTCTGGTGGTTAGTGAGCATCATAACGACTGATCGACCGGTCATTCTGGTAGTTCCACCATTCAGTTGCTGGGTTTATATTATATAGGATGATTTTCCTTTTTGCAAAGAGCAAATGTTTGGTAATAACACTAAGTCCACACAGGTCAAACTGCACATTATTCTATACTTAGCAAAACATTTAGCAAATATTTGTGGTTATAATTGTTTGAAATTTGAATAGCCTATATGATAATATTGTTTATGTTTTTCTTATTTTAATAGGGTAGCTATGATGGCTCTATGAGTTACAGCTGTTAGAGAAAAGCCGGTACTTAGGCTAAAAGTTGTATCATGAAAGATTCCATTATCCCAGGCTGTGGAGACTCTGGATGCAAGGGTTCTGGCTCAGGTGTGTACATGTGGCAGTTTTATCGGCAGCTTTTCCCGGTGGGCTTCATGGATGTTTTCATTCCTGCACCTCATTGGTCCTTTCTCTCAAAACAGAGGTGATATTTAAGTAGTCACATCGAGAAGCATATCTGCGTATGTTTAACAAAAACTTCAACACAATGTGTAGAATTTAACGTATTATATCATGAAAAATACTTTGAGAATTGAGTGGCTAACAAGAGCAAAAGGCTGCCTGGCTAGCAAGGCTCAGTAGTTGAGCAAAGACCTGTGAATCAGGAGACCAGCGTTCGATTCCCGGTCAGGGGTCATGCCGGGGTTGCAGGCTTGATCTCCAGTGGGGGGCGTGCAGGAGGCAGCTGATCCATGATTCTCTCGTCATTAATGTTTCTATCTCTCTTTCGCTCTCCCTTCATCTCTGATAGCAATAAAAATATATTTTTAAAAATTGAGCAAAAAGCATTAAATATTAGAAACTGTATAGCATCATTTAAATATAAGCAGATGACTACTGTGTGCTCAGCAACTTGGAATTCAGTATTTCTGTTTCATATAACTGCAGGAATTATGCAATTAGATGCTTGCTGATTGCATCTAAGTGCAGATATACTGAAAATATGAGTGAATTCTAAAATCAGTTACTTTTTAGATCCTATGATATAATAAAAAATAAACTGAACTTGGCCTATCAGAAAGAAATAAAAATAGCACTTTAATTAAACTACTGTAGCTGAAGCACTGAATCTGTAGACACACAAGATGGTACTACAGGTCTTTTTATAAGGCACGTGCATGCTGTCCTTTGAGTCCCCTAAAGAAATCACCTTCATAGTCACTGATATATTAGAGATATTACTCATATTGTTTTGCTATCATAAAACAGTTCTGCATATTTTTATACTTGATGGTATATTTACTTCTTATCTATCCATTTGAAGGAATAGGTTAAAAGAATGCCACAAAAAAGAATAAACTTCTGATATATCTGGATATAATCTACACCAGCTAAACGACTGCTGACCTGTATTAATAAGTCATTTGTATGCGGCACGAAAGGAGCCGTGATGACTGCACTGAGTGGGACACAGAGCGAGTCCCCATTGTCATTAGATCAGAAGGATGTAAGTTAATGTTAAATAAAAATCAATCTAAAAATTACTGTCTTATCAATAATGATATTTACACCTCCATCTATAAAGCTAGATCTCAATTAACCTCAAACAAGGAAAACCCTCCAATAACTCCTCCTTCTGGTTCCAAGACACCTGGTATAACAGAAGGAGGCAGGGAAGAGAGTGCCTGTGACCGTCAGGCCATCTTAGCTGCCCCCCACACACACATTGTGGTCACAGAGGTCAAAGTGCACAGGAGAGATACATACAAAGACAACAGGTAGCAGTCACTGTTCCTGAGTCGGGCACAGGACAGGCACGGACATGCATCCACTCACCCTGCACCTCCAATGGGACAGCTACATGTTGAGTGACCTGCCCAAGGCAGTGAGTTTGAATCCCGAAGTCTGTTCCTGGCACTCTGGACAACAGTATACCCAAGTCCTCAGCAATCACACAAGCATCACACTGTGTTCAACAGGCTGAATGCACATGCATCCAAGCATTTTACGTTTGTTAGGCAAATTTCCAAGAATTGGTGCATTTTTCTGCATCACTGCATTACTGAGACCACACAAATAACTGAACTAGTTTTTACTGGTCCTGGGAGCATAGTTTATGATGAACAATTCGAAGAAGAAAGATAGTATGAACTAGAGAGAGGATGGCACAACTGGCCCCATTCCTGCCCGCCCTCAGGTTTTGTCTAATTCCCTCTGAGTCGCAGTTTCCAGGTGAGACCAGAATGAAGCCGTGACGGGAAGGTGGGTGAGGGCAGGGCAGGTGGTTTGCGCCTCCGCAGAGAGCAAGGCAGTCCTGCTGGGTTGAGGAGGCTGATGTCCGCCTTCCTCTTTCCCCGTTTGATGGCGAGCGGTGGGCGGGGGAGGGGAAGGGTCACAGACAGACAGACACAGGCCTGCCAGGCGCCACCCAACCCCCAGTCAGGTGCTGGGAAAACAGGAGGCCACTCCCGAGTGAGGCTGTGCCAGGCCACCGATGCCACGGCCTACTGTGAGCTTTTTCTGCAATAAGCAGGAAATGCCCTAACGTTCCTCTTCACTGTAAACAGTAGGGAAATTTCCATTAGGAAAAGTTTAATGCCCACAAAATAATTCCTTTAAACATAAGTGAGTCCAGCCAGTCCGTCCTTCCGGGAAGGGAGACCACGGGACCCTGGGTTGCGAGCTGTAGGCATTCACACGCGCCTTGAGGGACGCGGGCCTGGTGGGTCACATTCCTGTGCCTAACAGAGATCTACAGGATCTGAACCAATGGGCCATTTTCATCCTAAGATTCGAGTTTAATTCAAATAGGGATCATTTTTCTCTCCCAAATCAGGGCTATACTGAACAGGAAACAGGTTATATCAGAGTTAGTGATTGGCAGCTGCCCTGAGGCTCCCATTAGCAAGGCCGGTCCCCTCCCTGTCTCAGTGCGTAATGTAACCCAGATGCGGCCACACATCTGCCCAGACAAAAGGCAGGAGAACCTCAGCCCACGGACAGCCCAGCTTTTGGACAGGAAATGTCTGTGCACATTCGCTGCAGTGACCTGGCCCCTGCGTCCAGACAAGGCCGTGGCCCTGTGTCAGCAGCATCTAGTCCGAGCACAGGTGCTTCTCAGCAGGTAACTGTGTGGCTTCCATGTCACCCTCATTACCTCCAAGTCAAGCAAGCAAGAGAACAAGAGCATCACATTTTTTTAAATGAAGTGCTTCTCACAACCATGTGGATTCCTGTACATCTAGTAAGGGTGTCGAATACTGTCCCTGAGGTGTTTTACAACCGCCAGAGAAATTAGACAGTTTGTGGCTATCGATGGAGATAAATCACTTTATGTGGGTATTTTTATTTACCGACTCTCTCAGGATAGCTGGGAAGCTCAGGGTAGAGTTTATATTCGTTTCTGTCACCTGCAAAAAAAAAAAAAGAAAAAAAAAAAAGATGGGAGGAAACATTTAGAAAACTAGTTTATAGTATATAAAGTATTCAAGAATGCCAAACTTTGCCCTTGCTAAGCAAATATTGTAAATCACAATAATTGATATAAACGCCATTATTTTATCATGCTTTAAATCAAGGAATGCCTGAGAAAATCCAGAACATACACCAGGCTTAAGGGAGATGGCATGATACCTTAAGGCACATCTGATACCTGAGCACATAAGCCACAATGCAGGCCTCATAGTGACACACCCATGGCAAACAGACTAGTAGACATGTCTTTTTACAGACGTGATCCTAAAACGCCTGAATCTAAAAGCTCGTAACTCCCAAGCCAGAGATTTTTGAACATCCTTGCTTGCATAACCCCGGAAATGATTTTTAAACAGCACGCACTCCCCAGACATCATCAACTTCCTCCCAGGGGCCTCGGTCGCACTTCCACGGGGGCATCTCCTAGCCTGAAAGTGCTTGCAGGACGCAAGTGAGCCTCATCTTTGTTCTCCAAAGCCCGGCACAGCCTCCCCGACAATGGAGATTACATGGAGCACCACCTGCTTGAAGGCATGCGTTTACTGGTGACCTCTCCATGTGCAAAGCAGAATTCTAAGAGTGACCGTCATCAGGGAGAGTGATGGAAAGGGGCAAAGGCCAGGACATGATGCTGCATAATCCAGTCTATTCTAAAACCACCTTCCGAAACCCTGAGATCCCAAGATGGAGGATAACATTAATATTCAGAAATAGGGATCTGTGAATGTATAAGAAAAACAGGCTCATTTTGTTCCCATTTTAAAACCGCTTCTTCTGAACGAGAATAGAGACCCTGACAAATCACAGCCACGAGAATGTGTCTTGGGCATGTGGAAGAGGCTTGAGCATTTGCTTTTCTTTCTTTAATACCCACTGGTTCTTTTATTCAACTGTAAAATTCAACAATGTGGCTCCATTTCTTAACAATAATATTTAATAACTGCTTAATTCTCATTGTATTTGAATTGCAAAAAAATACTTACTCTGAGAGCCAGAGCTCAGCGGGCCCTGTGGAGATGACGGCTGTGGTCTTGACAGTGGTTTTGGAGGTAATTCGTGAGCCTTGGGAGGAATAAAAAAATGCATGTAATAAAAAATCCCATTTCACCCAGGAGCACACAAGGCCTTTCTCCTAATGAGTCCATGTGGCAAAGCCTACCCCATGCGCTGACAAATGAAGTCCCTCATGCTCACAGGTGCTGCTCTGGGGCACTTAGTTGAACTGGACCACAACATACCCGGGGTGCCCTGTAACAGGAAGCGCACCTGGCCCAGGTTCCTCTGACAACCTGCAGGCACAGTAAGTGGTGGCTGGGAGAGGCAGTGACAGTTCTAACTCTGTGAGTCAGTTTTCATTCTTTAAGGCGGATTAAGCGACCGAAAGCGGTTGTGGACTTAGGTAACCAAGGCCCACAAGCCCTCTCCCCTCCACACCTCCGTGTGGGTAACTGAAAAGACAAAGTCCTGCCTTTGGAGAAACGCAGCGTGGGAAAGGACTGTGTTTCCCTTTGAAACCTGTGCAGGTGGCATGTGAAGGCTGTAGGACATTCTCACAAGCACCTTAGGTAAATGAGGTCACGAGGGAGTTCAAGGTTATTAGGAAGCTGGTTCAAGGACAGAGTACTCTGTGTAGGGAGGTGTCCTGTGGCTACAGAGAAAGTAAACCAACAGCACCGGAGCCTTCCTCCGCTCCCGGGCGGCTCTCCTCGCGTTGATCCGCTGTCCTTCGCTCTCATACTTCTCAGTGAACGCATCAAGGATTTCGTAAAGGTCCTCCGCTTGAGCAGGCCGCGGCATGTCTCCAAATAAAATGTCATACGCTCGAACATCTTGACAATAAAACCTAAAAAGAAATGTCAAATCAAGAACATTTATTTTATAGACACGGATCCTTTCTAGAGGAAGTCCTGTGTGTGTGTGTACTCATACACTACTTTTCAAACTAACTACAAGCCATACCCACGTTAACCCGAATGCACCCCCATGCTCACCTCTGGGGGCACCGCCTTCAATACTCTGATATGCACAAAATACAAAATGCACACCACATATGCACACAGACACTTGTCTATATAGACCTACGTGACCATATGTGGTACAGTATATCGACACTTTTGCAAATACACCTACAAGCAGATACATTTTTGCAGGTTTTTATTTTTTATGTTTCTCAATCATCCTAGCCTAAGGCTTTATTTAAACATATATGCCTTCGCAATTTCTTTAAATGGGTATTTGCTTCAAAATCATACAAGGATCTGCCTTACATGTTTGGAAGGCCTGCAGTTGATTATATGTGTTTTAGTTTTCCCAGAATTTAGATGAACTTGAGTGGGAAAGTCTTCCAAAGGTCTAAAGTCAGAAGTCCCTAAAGGCTTCCTTGACCTGTATTTCTCAGATTTATAAAACCGGAGGTAAAAACACCTCAACTTCCTGATGGAGAGCTCCATAACCCTGCACGTCCCCTCATCCTCCCTGCTGTCTGGCCTGGGTGTTTACATGGAATGCGATCGAGTGCTGCTGAATCGTGAGTGGACTGGCACTGACTTTGCATGGGTTTCTCTTTGGGAGCGGGGGTGGGGGGAGCGGGGGGGCAGTCTGTCTGCTGTGAACCACCTGGTCAGCTCCATTGGCTCCCACAGGGAGGAATCCCCGCCAGGTTCTGGAAGCAGTGCTTCTGTGGGTCTTGGCGCTTTACCTTTTCCTGGGCACGGGACATATTTTAGAGGAGGTTTTAAAGAGCTGCTTTGGGGAAAATTGGCCAGATGCCTGTTTAGAGTGAAAGTTCCTCTTGGTCTATAAGTACATCCAAATCCATTTTTTAAAAAGTGTAAAGTGGTCTGTCTTTTATGGAAGAATGAATGTGGTAACAGGAAACTTTCACAAGGAGACACATTCTGACTGACCTGCAGTCATAACTACCCCAGGCCTCTAAAAATGCTCGAGGGCACATCCACCTCATAGAATACTATGGAGCCATTAACTTACATTTATGATTCTTATAATGCTAAGTGAAAAAATAGGATTTACAATAGAATCTTGCCCTGGCTCAGTGGATAGGCAGGGGTGGGCAAACTTTTTGACTCGAGGGCCACAATGGGTTCTTAAACTGGACCGGAGGGCCGGAACAAAAGCATGGATGGAGTGTTTGTGTGAACTAATACATGTTAACACTGCTGCTGGTGAAGGAGTGGATAGGAGAGCAAGAGAACCCTCCGCCCTTTCGGCTCCGTGGGCCAGACAGAACAGCCGAACGGGCCGGATCCGGCCCGCGGGCCGTAGTTTGCCCACGGCTGGGATAGAGCATCGCCTGAGGACTGAAGGGTCCCAGATTCGATTCCAGAAAGGGCACATGTCCGGGTTGCAGGCTCAATCCCCAGTAGCAGGCCTGCAGGAGGCAGCCAAACAATGATTCTCTCTCATCATTGATGTTTCAATTTCTCACTCCCTTCCCTTTTCTCTCTGAAATCAATAAAAATATATTTTTAAAAAGAACTTATGCTACTATCACATATGGCAAAACAAAAGAAAAATATGCTTAGAAAAATATTAGGAGGCAACAAAACAAACGGTGAATAATCTTTAAAGGGGTAAAATGTTTCCCCCCTTTTAATTTTTTGTGTTTTCTAAGCTTTCTATTCTATATAATAAAAGTATAATATGCAAATGGCGGAATGATCGGTCGCTATGATGTGCACTGACCACCAGGGGGCAGACGCTTAACACAGGAGCTGCCCCCTGATGGTCAGTGCGCTCCCACAGCAGGAACGCTGCTCAGCCAGAAGCAGGACTCATGGCTGGCGAGCAAGCGTAGTGGCAGTGGCAGGAGCCTCTCCCGCCTCCACTGCAGGCGGCTGTAAGGAGCGAGGGGTCCCGGACTGCAAGAGAGCGCAGGCCGGGCTGAGGCCCGCCCCCCCAAGTGCACGAATATCATGCACTGGGCCTCTAGTAGGTACATATTGTCTCACATTGAATTTTTTTTTCTTTTTTTTTTTTTTTTTTTTAGCTGGAAGCCTACTGATAAGTTAATTCTAAATCACATTGAATTTTTAAATGAAGAAACACCCACTCGGAGTCATATGTTGTTGATTTAAAAAAGGGACAGACAAAGGAACTAGCGCTGTATACATTTACCGAACATTCTTTTCTCATGACACCTTCTTCACATCAATGACACTTACTCGCCTTGCACTTACTTCCGATTGGTCTCCTTCCTTTCAATCAAGCAGCTGCCTTCCAAGCTGATGCCAGCAAAGAGCCCCCGGGACCTGCAGTACGTGAAGACGGCGGCCGAGCTCCGCAGGGCGACGTTTCCCTCCAAATTCCTGCGAAACAGAGGGTTAGCTCACACCTGAGAGAGGCTCTGCACCCACAGACGGTGCGAGGGCAGCACTGACCTCTGACCCCAAGGCTGGCCTGTCTTTCTTCAGGCCTTTACACGCTCACTTCCTGTCGCCGGCCTGTGTGGGCTTCAGGGGTGCAGGGAAGCGGGGTCGAGGGGAAGGACAGGGCCCCAGACTCAGCCCGGGGGTTCAGTGCCGAGGACACAAGGACAGCTTTCCTCTTCCTGCCTTCCTTTCCCCAAACAGGGAATGCTCTCCAGGTGCCAAGGACTGGGTTCTTTTTACACTGAGGGTTTTCATGGAACTTAGGCATCTTTTCCGATGATTTTACCGTGTGGCTTCTTTAAACAGTCTGGGTATAAAAAGTTCCTCAGCTGCTCAGTGAGCACAACAGTACTTCACTAACAGAGAAGGAAAATCCACTGTGTTTCAAACAACACTCAAGTGAGACACTTCCTTTTCGATTTTTCATAATTCAGTTTGGAAAGAGAGCCGTTTTGTTTCTGATCCCCACCGCCCTTTACCAGTTAAAGTTTAACTTGCTTTGGCTCCAAAGTTTAATGTGAAATTTGTGTTCAGTTCCAGAAAATACAATGGCTGGAATTTCAGAAATGTTGAGTTTCTTGTGTGTGCAAATTTTCTCATTTTATCACACTGGCTATGTTCTGTAAATTTCTTATTTGTAAGCAACCTCAAACCTTCTGTGAGATACAGAGATCGTAACTTTGCTTCATGTGAATTCAAGTTTCCTCTTAACACACGTTAATATATAGTTTTTAACACTTTTCTATCCCACAGCTGTTCCAATGTATTTTACAGAACTCACCTTCCCAAAGGCCCTACTGCCACAGTCAAATTCCCTCCGAGGGTTAGGTTGCCACCTTTTGCAAAAGCTTCTACCGCTCGGCCATAATTCAAAATTATAACCAAATCCGACACCTAAAATGTAGAAACCCATTTATGTAAAAATAATTATGTTTAACTATTATTTAAAATATAAGCTGATTAAAACGCAAATATAATATATGTATTGTAGTAAGCATTTCAGTGTAGACAGGGAAAGAACAGGACAGTCATATTTTTCATCTTGAGCTGAGGATGTAAGCAGCTGGCATTTCCACCGATGACGGCAAACTCCTGACACACTGTGAGGGCTCATGCATTATCTCTTACTCTCCCCAGCAACCTGGTAATGCAGGTGGTGACAGGGGTGTTGTGAGGTTAAGTGAACTGTAACAGCGATGACAGAACAGATCAAACAGGGGTTGGAGGGGAACATCACAGGTACCCCGGCAACTAACCCCTCAGGGAAGCCAAGCTGAGAGCACAGACAGGAGTGGGGTGGAGGCCACCGCCCAGAGGCCCTGGTTCCCAGGACAGGTCCACGCCGACATCCCTGCCAAGGCCTGGCGCCCAGTCCCTGTGAACTGCACAGCAGACACTTCATTTTATGCCCCAGAGGTTCGAACCATCAGGAAGAAACACAGTGACGTTTCCCAGTGCCTGCCGCTATGACCTCACTCTCTAAGTCTAAGCGAACCTAGAACGAGGATGCTCAAGGCCTGTCAGCGTGGGGAACGCATTTGTTTTCCAGACTCGCAGCTGGTGGCACCCAAGGCGAGCACGGAAAAAATGACAGGCCCGTCCCTCGGGGGACAGACACCGCGTCTCCTCCCAACGCCTCCTCTCACAGCTTACGCATTCCAGTAGTTTCACCTACAGATTCATTTACTGTAAACCCGAGGGAAGGCTGCCTTCACCTCTGTTACAGTGAGGGCGTGAGCTGACCGAGAGCACGTGCTGGAAGGCGCTCGGCGGGAACTGGACGGTGCTGCCCGCTCAGTCCTCGCTCCTGCAGCTCCACCACTGGACCCAATTGCTTTGGGAAGACAACCCAGCACATCGTCTTCGAACATGTTTACCTCACATCTTTCTGTTGCATTTACTGGGTGAGAGGACTTCATGTTACTGTACTTGTTTTTCAAGTCTCTTAACGTGCACTGGGGACTACATCCAGTTTCCAAGGAATCATCATGAAGACACTCATGGGTAGTCTTTGCTACATTAGATTTATTGAAGTCATTATTACTTAGTCTATCATCCTTTTTAAAAAAATTATTGATTATTTTTCCATTGATTTTCAGAGAGAATGGAAGGGAGAGAGAAAGACACACAGAGAGAGAAACATTGATTTGTTGTTTCACCCATCTATACATTCATTTGTTGATTCTTTTTTTAAAATATTGATTCTTTATGGATCGGCTGCCTCCTGCAGGCCCCACCTGGGGGATCAAGCAGCAACCCAGGCAGGTGCCCTTGACCGGAATCAAATCTGTAACCTTTCAGTCCACAGGCGGCCACTCTATGTACTGAGCCAAACCAGCTAGGGCCATTGGTTGATTCTTATATGTGCTGTGACCAAGCATAGAACCCACAACCTTGGCGTATTGGGGCGACGCTCTAACGAGCTGAGCTACCCGGCCAGGGCCTCTCATTGTTTTTTAAATAAATGCTATTTGAGAGAAACCCCAGAGCAGGCCCCAGCGGTGCGTGGAG